GGGCTAAAAAGTCCCAATGTCAGATTTTTCTATATAATGTCTTTTGTCCCATGTCTCTAGCCCTTCTAGAAGTACCCGTACTTTTTGGAACCTGAGAAGTAGCTATATATATAATGTACAATAGGATGGTTTTTGAAGGTTTCCTGACATCTCATCATACGAGACATTTCATCATTGTAAAATTTCATCATTGTAACATTTCATCATTATAGCAATTCATCATTGCACATTTCAACATTATAGCAATTCATCATTATTGTATTTCATCACCGTAATATTCCATCATTGTATAAAGTGCATTTTGCAAACATAAGTACATGTAGGTGTAATTAAGTAATTAACATACTGAGCAATTTTGGCAACATGTTGAAGCAGTTTGCAGTTTTGCTGCACAGTGCAACTAATGGAACAAAAATTTAAGAGGATTAGGGTGTAAAGTAAATTTGTACAGGTAATTAAATTAAAGGACATATTGGTTTCACCAATTTTTGTTACTTATCCTTTTTGCCACGTAAAGGCTTGTCCCACAAACAGGCAATTTTGTTTTTTGTTTTTTCTTGACTTATTATTTCATATATTTATTATTCTACAACACAATTCATTACAGTAAAACACAAAGACATTACACACGAAACAAATTTAATGTCGAAACACACAAAAATGTATCAAATCACTTCTTGAAAATATTTCCAACTTTCTGACTCGCCAGGTGCATAGACTCCTGTAAAAAAGGGTTAATAATAAAAAATAACATGACTGACTAGATTAAGTTTTGAGTTTATGGTCTGCTACTGCAAATTAGTTAATTTTCTCAAGTACTTCATTTTATCCTCTTCATTGTAATACCCCTGTACAGCTGCAATTATCTTATCATTTAATTCCCTATACTTCTTTTTTGGTTGTGGGCGACCATCTTCAGTGATAAAATGTTATGGTAATGAGATACAATAATGATGAATTACTATAATGATGAAATGTGCAATGATGAATTGCTATAATGATGAAATGTTAAAATGATGAAATGTTACAATGATGAAATGTCTCGTATGATGAGGTGTCTGGTCACCGTTTTTGAAGAGTTATACGAAATATGAATAAAATATAGAATTATAAGCACAAAGCGTAACGTTACTGAGAGCCAAATTTACATTTTTCTAGGTATGTTAACTATAAGCTTACTAATTTTCTAAAAATTGGAAAGAGGCATTTAACAGACATTTTTATAATATTCTGTAAAACTTTCATTTAACTAGACAATACACATTACGGGCGGTTATGTGGTGATCACATAAGATTTTTCAATAATTGTGGACAAAATCCACAATTTCAAATATTTCGAAATTATTATAAGTGTTATTTTAAACATAAGCAAAATTAACAAGAATTTTGTAATGTATTAACAATAATTTTTGTAATTTTAAGAACGTTTTTTAAAATTTTTGTAAAATCAGTTTACTTGTTATCAATAAAGCGATTAATCGATCGAGTGAAAGTTGGACCGTTTACCTTTTTACTCAATATTATTATTTTATTCTGTGCAGTGCCTCTATACTTTACATGTACAACAATAACAGCTAATTCTAGAAATCTGAAGCAAATTTTAAATTCTTTAATTTACTTTTTTAAATCTGAGTGTAGCTTTACTTTTGTAATTTATTTTTTATTAAATAAAAAAAAATAAATTACATAGCAGTTATATAATCAATTCTCTTTGAGTTTTAACAATAATAATTATCTTTGATCTTTCTGTTATATCAAAGGCAATACACTAATGTATACTTTTTAATTTATAAGCAGTCAATACAGTTTCAGGTGGTTAATTTTTAGCAACTACAACAGATGCGTTGTACTATTTGGAACGGTATGTTTGTGTTTTTACTTTCCCAGATTAACTCAGAAGAACACATAGAACTTGGAAACTTTAGTTGAAGCAACATCAAAAAAAATGTCTGTTTTTTTGGAACACCATATAGTTCAGATGGGACACAAAGATTGGTATGGCTCTACCCTCAAATCCATCTTTCGTCTCCCAGAAGGTAGGTAACACAGTTATCTGCCGGATGTCTCCTGGTAACACGCTTCGGTGTGGCTGACGGAGAGCCATTTATAAAATGTAATGGACCCGTTCAGGAGGAGCGCAAAGATTAGACGTTCGCCTCCTCCAACTGCAGAACGGACAAAAAAAAAAGGAAAATTCAACTGTACAAGTTATACCATAAGACATACCGAGCTCACTAAACACAAAAGTTTAAATTAAGAAATGTAGATCAAATGTGCTAAAATACATAAGAGAATATTAGAATTAGAGTCTCTCTGCTTGGCCTTAAAAAGTGAGGTTCTCCAGTTTAGTGCAGAAAACCAAAAACTAAAAATGGAAAGGTACAGTAGCATTATGCCAAATAGAAGCACTATGCCAAAAGATAGTACACCGAGTGAAAATCCGACTACACATCAAGAACGATATAGAGTTACAAACTTTACAGATGAAGAAGAACTCATGCGAGAAATCGATTGGATTCTTAAAACAACGAGGTCCAGTAAAAAATTAAAGTAATCGCCTAAAGTAGTTCAAGCAACGAAAAGTGTGGAGGGTTCGGGTGTTCCTGATCCGAAAGTTGGCAACGACGCTGTCAGGAATTTTAAGCCAACTCTGTAATCATAAGTAATGTGGTTGATTCCAATCCAATAGAAGTCTGATTAAAAAAAAAAAAGACGTGAACTACAAAGTCAGGATGAAGAGCAATAAGGAATTAAAGCTTATTGTAGATACGGAGATGGATTGCAGGAATATACAAGGGTCCTGAGTGAATCACGGTTGGAGTTTCATACATATGAAAATAAAAAAACCAGACCAATCAAAGTTATGGTAAGAAATCTTTATCCCAAACGCAAGCCGAAAGATATAAAAAATGACTTACGATGTAGGAATTATAAAATTCTACACGTAGCAAATAAAGTTAAAAAGGTAAAGGAAAACGGAAGAATGTCATGGTAATTAGGAGAACATAAAGAGAATCTATGAAATAGACCAAATCAATCGTATGAAATTTAAGATTGAGGCAATGCGAAAGGAAAAGATCATTCCTCAGTACAAAAGATGTCAAAGGTTCGGACATGCAAAAATTTTGCCAAAGAGAACCGAACTGTGTGAAGTGTGCAAATACCATACTGCGGAGTTCACCAAACCAAGAAGCATTGCTGCAAAATATTCAAATTGTCTCGAGGCATATTCAGCAAACTATAGGAGATCTTTTGGCTCAGGGGCCGCAGAAGCGGACCCACCAAAACAACAATCAAAAGAAAGTCCCTAACAAAATCCCGAAGCTCTTCACTTCCAGTGTGGGGTCCAAAAGTGTATCATATAAGGTTGCCCTGAAAACGAAAAGCAATAGTTTACCAGTTACTGAAAAAAAATTGTCAACGCAAGGTGATTAGAACATATTGGAAGCCTTGCAAACAATGATGGAAAACATGATTATTGTAATGGGTAAAATTACCGATAGATTGATGGCCATTGAAGGTAAGTCTTCTGATAAAAATACAAAAAGAAATGAAATAGGAAGGTGATACCCCAAAGTGATTTTAAGGTAGCGACTTGGAATTGCAATGGTATCGCAAATAAAAAGGAAGTATTTGATGTCTTTTTGCACTCTCAAAGAATTGACGTATGCCTTAATTCTGAAATGCATATAGATTATCAAGAAATAATAAAGGAAAGTTTTATACATTGTGATCTGCACCAGATGCAGTCAGAAGAGATGCAAATGACGGCAGCTGAAATAACTTAAACTAAACAAAAGTTCAAAGTGGCTGCATTATATTGTCCCCCAAAATTTAAAATAATCAAAGAATTTTTTAAGAACATACTAAGCCGACTTTGTGACAGATTTATCTTGAGAGGTGACTATAACGCCAAGCACTCTGACTGGGATTCTCGACAAACTTTGACCAAAGGTAGGGAGCTCAGGGGTGAGCGTAGAGAAATGGGGTGCATTTTTCATTCCACTTCTAGGCTTACATATTGACCCACAGATCCGAATAAACGTCCAAATTTAATAGACTTCTTTATTATCGAGAAATTTGCAGAAAACTTCATGGACGTCTGTTACAACTGCGATCTTAATTTCGATCATTCTGCAGTTATATTAATCTTACAAGAATGTGTTGTAAAGAAAAAAGTAAAAGCTACATTGTCAAATAAATCAACGGAATGGCTGTACTTTCGAGCACAAAAAGAAACGAAGATAAATTTAAGAATGAAAATAACTACTATACAACAGTTAGACGAGGAGACAGAGAAGCTTACAAAAGTTATCCAAAATACAGCTTGGAATAGTTCCAGGAGTAATACCACAAGAAGAATGGGTTTCCATTATTCTCCGCGTATATTTGAAAACATACAATTAAGCAGAAAAGCTAGAAAAAGATGGCAACAAACGCGAGATTAAATAACAAATTACTAACTTAATATAACTTAAACCAGTATCCAGAAACATAAACAGGATTCGATTTCCAGATACATCCAGAATTTGACGGCATTCGAAAAAACCAACTGCTCTTTGTGGAAGACTACCAAAAACGTAAAGCAGCTTGTCAAGCATCTTGCGCCTATTGAAAACAAAAATATTACTTCGGCTAAGAGTGACAAAGGCAAGGCAAATGGGTTTGCTGATCATTTGGCTGACATATTTATGTCACATAACTATTCTAATTATGAGTGAAAGAGAGATTGCTGCGCAGATCAAGTCTTTCAATCTGAAAAAACATCGGGATTTAACCTGATCACATCTTATATACTAAAACAACTACCCAAAAAGGTAATGACGATGAAGCATTGAATTCCCTATTACTGAAACTCCCCTGTTAGGTAAATTCATTAATGATGTAAAATGAAAACCATAGATTGTGAAAACCATATATATAGGGTGATTCATTAAAAAGTAAAATATGAATTAAAAATGAAATTGTTTTCACAATCATTTTAATTTTTTTATACTTACTGTATTAGCATCTTTTGAAACTGCAGTATACATTTCAATGTACTCCCGTTCTTTATTTGAAATAAATTTTGCTGAAACTGGCCGTTCTGCACCAAAAATCAAAAAAAAAATTGACCAAATAAATGATATAGCGGCTGACAAATAAAATATAGAGTGCCACCCTATTGTCGATTCAGTAAGTGCGCCACTGGACGCTAACATAATAACAGTTCCAAGTTGAGCTCCTGAATATACTGTAGTTCCCAGAAAACTTCTTTCTGTACTTGGAACCCATTTTGAGAGTAATGTATGCACACATGGATATACGACGCCTTGAGTTAGTCCTGCTAAAACTCGTAAGAATATTACAATTTTAATTCCGTATTTCGCTAGTAGAGGTAGTATAGCTGTAAAAATTGAACACAAGATTGTTCCAAAAGCCAAAACAGTTTTTCCACCCCAAAACGATGCCATTACACCTGAAGGTACCTGAGCAACTGCGTAACCCCAAAAAAAGCTACTTAATATTAGTTGCTTTTCATTTTGAGTATAATTAAAATGTTCAATGTTCGGGTTTATATCTAAATCTGTCATCGCAACTATTGCTGTCGACATGTTAACTCGTAGAAAGTAACCAAAAATTAATGCAAAAAATAATAGAACACATTGGAAGTGTCGAATTCCAAGGACGCCAGCTGAAAAGATAAATGAACAACCATTTGTTTTAATAGTTTCAAGTGGTTTAATACAATTGCAAAAAAGTTGCCATTCAAACATTTTTTTGATATATGTTGTTCTTATTGATCTTAAAAAATATTATTAATATTATATTAGAAAGTAATTAAATAAAACCTGTATCATTAAATTCAATAAACCGATTTAAATAAAATGTGCTAACTCAAATCAGTTGTATCTTAAAGTATTGAATACCGAATTTTTAATTGTAAATAAATTGAAACGTTGTTTTATTTGACCAATTGCATTGCTTTACTTCCTCATTTTTTATTATATTTTACTAATTTTTTACTGATAACTCTTCTTCAGATTCAAATTTTTTTTATTTTGTTTTTTCATGACATTAATTTTTATAAGAGAAATTGCTCAATTTTGTGCAAAATGAGACTTTGAATTTTAAAAATCCTGATTAAGAAAACACAATCAATACAACTTTACATAGTTTTAATATTAGTTCTCATAATATTTTTGACATTGAAAATTACATCTATCAACGAAATACATGATCATATTAAAAATCTAAAATATATGAAATCTCGAGAGGGGCAATAATAGTCTTTACTACAATTCTCTATAACTAGATGAGGATTCTATACTTTTTTCCTGCAAAATCATTTCTATAGTTAAGCCACCTGATTATCCACAATCGTATAGACCAATTAACTTGCTTAATTTTTTCAATAAAATACTGGAAAAAATAATCAAAATAAGATAAACAAACTTTCCTGATACAAACGGTGTACTCCCAGATGAACAGCTGGGACTTCGTACAAAACTTCTACAGTTCAGCCACTTGAATTTTTAATCTCGAAAGTAAAAAATCCAGTTAATCCAGCCATGTTAATGTTGGATATTAAGTCTGCATTTGACACAGTTTGGTATAACACGTTACTATAGAAACTAAAAACTTTTTTAGTACACCATTATTTTTAATTAAAGTTGTTCAAAGTGTACCGATTTTATATAATATTATATTTACTCGTGATGTTCCAATTTCAAGAAGTGTTCATATTTTCATTTTGCCAGATAACACTGCTATATGTGCTTTTGTACCGAAAATCTCAAGGAGTTCGAGTTACAGGTATTCTAACGAATTTTCATGAAATTTCTACTCATTCAAGTTTTTAATTATAACTTCCGTTTCGAGAAAGATATGTGCTTCAAATAAACAGTTTCTGAAAGTCCTGGTAAAGGGTTTAAAGTAAGCACGTGTTTGATTTGAGCTTTAAGAAAAATCAAATTTTTCCCTTTTTTTATTTTTCCAGATTTTTTCTAACCAGTCATCTTCGTAACCGAAGATGAATTGTCAATTTTCTTATTAGTGAAATTCACATGTACTGATTTCACGTCTTATGTTCCACTTTCTAGTTCATTTTGAAATCTCGTCACTGACCTTTTGTAATTTTTGTGTAGACTCATTTTTGTTTCGTCAGTTAGTCATTAGTCAGGTAAGATTCCAACAGGTGGATATACTGCCTTGGTCCGGCGAAAACTAAATTGATGATTCGAGATTGACTTTTTACTTTCAATTACAGGCTGAAGTTTTCTCAATAAAAGTTTCTCTAGCAAATTTGAAATCATCGGCAACAATGAGATTGGTCTGTAAGAAGTCTATAGGTTTCCCAGGTTTGTGCAACATAATTATCTGATTAACTTTCCAAATGTCAGGAAACGCGTAAACATCGTTGTGTAACATGACATCCAGTGTAACATGACATATCAAGCTGTTTTTAAGGGTTTTCACTGCTTCATGACCAGTTACAAACCATCCAAAGATTATTTGCTGAGCTATTGGATGATATGATTGTCCTTTTATTATTCCACTGAGTAATACTTCATCAATGACATCTGAATTTTTTAGTTTTTCAAATTCAGGTTCGGCTAACTCTATGAGCTAAAGGTGCTCCCACTTGTCTTTATGTAATTTAGAAAATTCTTTACATTGCTTTGATGTAACTTTTATGCGCACACTGTTATTTACTGAGCTTATTTCTTTTGCAGCGAATCCAATTATTACGGCATCAATTTTTGTTCTTTTGAGTTGTAATTAATTCGCAACTTCCTTTGTTATAAACGACGATAGCGACCCCTGATCTATTAGGGCTCCCATTGGTGTATTTTTAACGCATACATTGCTGTAATAAAACTACCGCAATCTTCGGTATGATGCAGTTCTATGATTGCCCACCTGAATTACTAGGTGTATTATGAGTTTTTACTCTGCTTCCATCATGTAACAGGCTGTGATGATTTTCGTTGCATTTCATGCAAATGTTCTTTGAAATGCACTTGTTTCTCACATAATTGCTGATGAGACAGTTTGAGCATAAGTTGTGTCTTCTTACTGCTGGCCATTTTTGAGTAATACCCAAGAGATACATTTGGTTGCATCGCTTTTAAGGTTTTTGCTTCTCGCCGGCCCCCCCAAAAGTTTCTAACGCCTGAAACGTTGTTTCCAGGAACTGTTGTCAATTCTGGGATTATCTTGAGGTTTGATGCCTGTTGTTCGTAAAGCCTTGAAGTTTGCTTATCAACTTTTTGTAAGATAAGAAAACTAACTACAGGGCCCTAGGAATCAGTTTCAATGCCCAGGTTTTTTATAACACAAAGACTTTCTTTTGTAGTGTCCAACATGTTTTTTTAATTCAGCTGATGTTTCATTATTTAAATGAGGTAGAGATAGCAGCTTATTCATGTATGTTGAAAACAATATTCTTGTGTTGTTGTACCTGGCTGTTATTAATTCTAACGTAATTTTCTTAGTTACAACAAGATATTTTATTAAGTTCATTAGCTCTGGCGACAGTAGATTTTTGAAGTAATGATATATTTGATTATGTTTCGCTTACTAATACACTTCACGGCAATTAGCCAAAAGAATACATAATCCAATGTACATACATACTTTTTCTGAACCCTATCTGCCTACTGTCCCATGCCTCTAACCCTTCTAGAATTATCCGCACTTTTCCACACCTCACAAGTAGGTATATACAGGATGGTTCAGTAAAGAGTACAATATTATATAGCATTTAGGGCATCAAAAATGGGTAAAATTTTTGTTGGGAACTAGTTGTCAAGCCACAACGGTTTCGGAGATATAGGGATTTTAACGAATTTTAACGAAAATTTTTCTTGTCCAAGCTTTTTTGCTTGTAACTTACATTGTAAAAAAGGTATAGGCTTTAAATTAACAATTTTTGAAAGAACAAGTAAAGGGCTTGAAAGCAACATATTTCTTGATTTTATATTCTGCATAAATTATGTATGCTTTTTGTACACAGTTTTGCATATTATGTTTCCTAACGAAACATAATATGCAAAACTGTGGGTAAACATATAAAAATTTTATGAATTTTGCTAATACAACGTGTATTTGTTAAATTAATAAGTAATTTGCTTATTACACCAATAAAATTAATTTAATGGAAATTTCTTTATACAACTACAGAGCAGATGAATGAAAGAAATGAGTTAAAGGCAGATATTAAAGAAATAAGTTAAAGGCAGAAAAATTAAAAAAATTTTTTCCTCGAACTGGACTCGAATCAGTGACCTACCGCTTTCTACTTTTTCTACATACACAAATGTATGTATTAGAATTAAAAATTTTAGTTTTCTGCATAACTACATTAGCCTCTATTGGCTTACAAAAGTTTACTTGTGTTTAAATCAACTCAAGTATAAAACGAGAAAAAATAGAATTAACCTTGTCAACTCTGTGATACCCGTACGAATTTGTTCTCCTATGTGCGAATAAAGATGCCATAACTGACTATGTATTACCATATTAATTTAAGCAAAAATTCAGTACTATGTGTTTTTCAAAATACTGTGTGTGCCAAACTACTATTGAAGTTGTATGGCAGGTACGAGAAGGGGCTAAATAATTTCATTGAACGCATTGGCCCTACTAATATATTCGTTTGTTGAAATTTCAATACCACAGCTTTTATAGTTTCTGAGATATAGCTAAATAAATTTTGAAGTTGTATGGCAGCCACCCGATTAGTACACTGATCATGTCCAACTTAAATAGGGTTCTGGCACTTGCTACAATAAATCATTTGTGAAAATTTGGTAAACTTAGCGCAATTCGTTTTCGAGTTATCGCTGGGACAGACGGACGGACGGACGGACAGGCGGACAGACATAGCTAAATCACCTCAGAATTCAACGTTGATCAAAAACATACACTTAAGTCTGTATCTCAGGGCATTATTTCTTAGTGTTAGAAACGGTAAGGCAGATTTAGTATACCCTTCGAACATACGTTCATACGGGTATAAAAAATTGCAAAGTTTCTGTTAATTTAAAACACTAATAAACTTTTCTTAAAAATAAGTAGTTCTAAATTTATAATATAAAATGATATGAATAACATAATATTAATTATATTATTCAGAGTCTTATTAAGAATACAAGGAAGAATTTTAATAGTTAATTTTGATTAATTTTGCTTTGATTGCAAATTTACTTTTTGGACGCTTAAAATTTTCCATATTACTTATACCTGAATTTAATAATTGCATTATTCGAATAAAAACAAAACACACATAAGGTTGAAGGGTGAACTAATGTCTATATATCTAACAAGTCCCAATACTCAATTTTTTTTAAACAAATTGTCGCCTTCGTTCCTGGTTTTTCTTTTAAATGCCCCTGATCGTGTCATATTTCTTATTCATTTTTTCTTTTTTTTTACATAAAAAAGAGTTTCTTAAGAGATTTTTAAAATACTTTTAAAAATCTCAGGATATTATACACATTTTTTAAAAAGCTTCCCATTTAAATTCTATTGCACGAAAAAGAAAGAGCGGTAGGAGGAAAGAAAAAATTTTTTAAATTTATATTTCAGTATGGTTTCAAATGTTAATGAGGAAGAATGTATGATTTTTCAAATACATTTTGTAGTCGAGTAGCGTCGGCTTACAAAAATGTTAATAAAAGTAATACATAA